ACTTTTGATTTGTTAATAATAATGTTTTGTATAAAGTAGAAATATTTATTTCCTACTAATAATGTCTTGGAACTCAGAGCTTACACCTTTATTGTAGTATAATTTGCTGTCCTACTTTTTCGACAGCGGTAAATCGTTTCGGCAGTAATTTGCATATTGCGCAATAATACTACGGGACTACAACGTTTTAATCAATAATATACGTTCATATTTTAACTTGGATAACTTAATTTGAAATTGAAAAGGCTAAATATGGAAGATTTTAAGATATCCCGACAAAGTATGGGAGTTTTGAAGGATCAAATTCATGTACTATTTCTTGGGCTGTTAATCGGTTTAGGACACTTTGCGCGATTGTAGCCGACGAAATCCCATGTGTAGATGACTTAGCTCTGAATGCGCCTGAGGGCGCGTCCGTCGCAAAAAAGTAATCGGTTCAAAATAAGGATCAATTTTAAGATTAAGATCAATATATAGATCAACTGTAAAATGTTAAACAATGATAAAACCATTCTGTAAAATGTTAAATAATGATAAAACGATTATAAAATTTCATAAACATACTGTTTCAAATCCACTTTTATCAAGTTAATATTAAATATTAAATGTGGATAAAACTGAAGAATGTTTAAATTTGAACCTCATCTCCACCCTGATCCCTAAATCTTTGTAGATACTTTGAGGTCAATCACATTCAATTTGACGAATTGTATAAACAGCTTACAATGATGTTTTAGTTGCTCAGTTGTTTAATTAAAAAATTAAAAAATACCACAAAACAACAATTTTTCACAAAACTTTGGTAAAAGTCCACGTGTTAACATGGGAAAACTAGATTTTGGGTAATCCCAAGGTTTTTCATCAATTTTTGGTAACCCTTTACCTCATATATACGCGAAACAACGCACTTTCGACCCCCAACCCTTTTAGGCCTCAAATAGTGAAAAAGTGTCCTGTTTTGGCCCAAAACACATGCTTTCGTTTAAGAAATGTTGATAAAAAAAGTGATCACTTTTTCGGCGCCTCTCCCGCCTCCATCGAAAAGATACAACACTTTGAAATCTGTTTTGATGGCAAAAAACAATGGAAAATACTGATTTTTGACAATTTTGAGACTTCCCCCCGTTGCCATGGTAGCGGGAAATTAAAGATTGAGCATGCTCTTACAGAGGCTATGGTCAACAAGTTTCATTTGTACTGAAGCATTTTTTATAGTTTCATAGCAGTTTGAACTTGTAACAGGAGGCTTTTTAATGAAAACGGCCATTTTACACAATATGCTCATGCGGTAAAGGGTTAAATATATCGTGAACAAATATTTATTACTGCTAAGAAAGTTTGATTGTCTCAAATATGTTGCTGACAAATGCTGATAAGAATAATCGCATGCTTTGTTTGTGTGCCTATTGATAAAGTAAAACATCCTTGGAAAAGACGTTTAAAAGAAACTTCCTGAATATATCACTTGGATACTTTATCACCAAATGGAATGAATTCCCAAGTTCTTTTTTAATGTCTTTCTCTTTATATCTGTCAATTACTAAAAGGTATTTTTATATATCTTAGTCAGTTTTACTGGCGTTTTATCTTAATACTTGAATCAAAGAGGGATACACATTAGAGATATGGGTTTGGTAACACCTCAAATCTATTTTGTACTTCCTGTGTTATTTTGAATAACCCCTTACTTTGTTAAAAATCTTAAATAAATTTGTTCAAGTTTCAGTTTGAGCAAAACAATTCACTATGTTAGTGAACATTTCTAAATATGAACCTACCGAGTAATAAACAGTGCAGGCCTTAATCAGATGGCACGAAAGTTCTGACTGGTCAAGCTCTGCACTGGTAGAATCGGTATACTCTGTTGCCACTAGCAACCTAAGAGTTTGAATTGTTCTATAGACAATACTTTGTTGGTCACAGTATTTGCAATAGTTATTTCTGTCGAAGGGGATTTATTTAAACTATTATTGTGACTCAATGCTTTTCCAATGAACTTTAGAAATTATTTCTCTTTTTGTTAGACGGAACAAATTACACTTTATGGACTTGTAAATTTCAAAGAAACCTTAAAACATCACGTAAAAGGTAATGGAGATGAAAGTATGTCAAGATACTTATACCTTTTGGGAATTATCATTAGTCTTAAAAAGGTTTTGCCATTTTTTTAGAGATTCATGTCAAAGTTTTAAGTGGTAAAGTCTTATTTACACTTAAATCTAGCATATTTTAAAATGTTGCATTTACATTTGTTAACTTTTAAAGAATTATATGGCTCCCTAAGGATGACATTTTTCAAAACTTTTAAGTACTGTAAACATCAAAAACCAACATGCTACAAAAAGCTCTTTTTAACGGTTGAAAGAGAAAGAGATATAAAATGTTAGTCAAAAGTACAATTGTGTACTGTCCGATAGATCATTGTTCTCAAATCGAGCAAGTATTTGGCATTCTCTTTGCTTTATATTTTTTAGCTTTACAGACGAATTCTGTTTATTCGAAATAAGGAATGTAATTTTGTTGTTTTTTACTTTCATTGTTACATAAAACTTTGTCATGGAGTTCTGTTTAGAATGATTTTTATGTGTAATAAATATTGTGAGAAAAAAACGAATTTGATTTGAGAACAAATGTAAAGATGTAAAAGAAGTAAGAGGAAAAAACAGTCATGTTATTTCAATATTTCTAAGAAGGGCATAAAGGTTTTAATTTAAATTTGGCTATATTATATCGTTTTATATTTTGATTAAAAAAGCGAAATCACTACATATTAAAACTTTATGTTTTGTCAGTGAACGTTTTAAAAAAACAGGCACAAACCTAAATTTAACTGTAAAGCTTTTTCTATTTTGACGAAAATGACAAAAGGATATTTCGTGAATTTCCGCCTCAAAGGTTGATACATTGTATACTTGACAAAGCACATTTTGTTAGTGAACATTTTATTCTGTTTTCATATAATATTGTGTACGTCCTATTGCTAAACTTTTTTGCTTTATTTCTTTTGAAACATGACCATATTAAAACTGTAATTTGTATATTTTTTACATTTAATGGCTCATTTCGCATGTTAGAAATTTATTTTCTTTAAAAAGTTTAAAAGTTCATGATAAGCCTAATGTATTTGGCTCTTATCCTAAAACTTGCAATAACAATTAAAAAGAAATGTTTGATTACAAGCTGCTGGAATTGAATTTATACCGTTTTGAAATTTATTGACTCACACAATGTTGTTGTTTTTTTTTTACAAAACATTGTTGTTTTTATTTTTTCTCTATTTTAAAAATATAAACTTTCAAATCATCACCTGTATTTCAGAAATACAGACGATTCCTCAACAACAACAAGAACAACAACCAACAACAATATTATAGATATTGTTATAAAAATATGTATACAAAAATAATGTTGTAATAAACTTCCAATATCAGGGATATTAATAGAAATGTTGATGAAAATATTGTTAATGAAACTGTTATGAATTTAATCGTGCTATTTTGATTAATTTGCTTGTACATGCCTTGGAATAACGGTATATGTTAACAGTAAACTTTTTGAAATATACAAATATTCCGGAAAAAGTGATATACCTCTGGGGCAAGGACACAAAATAAAAATTGTGTACCTTATTTTGACTTAGTCTGTTTATGAGAGATAATGGTAAGCGTGCAAAAGTAACCATACCGTCTCTGTCAAGCCCCTTAGCATCGACTATAGCAAAATGTTATCTTTAACAGTAAAATATTGGAATAAATGACCCCCGAAGGACCAGAAAAATATAGAAACGATTAAATGAAGTGCATGACATAATCACCAACGAGGAATTAAGATACAGCAGTTGAAAATTCAAACAAACAGACGTAAAAATTGTTGCTTAAATATATTATATTATATTAATTATGTTTATATTTTAAAGGAATTTCACTGAAATCAAAAGGCCTAAAAACAAAAATTTAACTAGAATTAGTTACATAGACCCTGAGAAGCACTTAAAATGAAAATAAAAACTGCAAAGGATAATAAAGAAATATAATCAGAACTGAATTGAATAACGATTATTTGTGCAATTCTTAGTCCGACTTGAGGGATTTTGGGTTATTTATATCGAGTAAAATGTTTAATTCTTGAAAGACGGTGACGAGAAAAAGATCTGACAATTTGCACACAAGTTATTAATCCAGACCATCATCAAATGGTACTCAAATCTCGGGAAAATATTTCTAGCTCAGTCAAGTAAAAACAACCCAGTAGAGTTCCTTTAAAATGAGAGAATTGAATAAAGATTTTATTAAAATGAGCGTAAATGAACGAAAATCTTGACGCAAACATTCACAAGACAAAATTTCAATCCGCGCAATAATGTAGACACATATGACAAGTCGCTACTGTATGTAAATGCTTACCTTGATACATTTTCCAGCACATTTCTTTTGTACTAAAATATGTTTTTTTGTTCATTTTTAATTTAGATTAAATGGATATTCATTTATTTTTGAAACTTTTTGTGTTTTGAAAATAAGGTATAGAAGGAGACAAAAGTTGTTAAAGGAAAAAAAACATAATTGTATTTATTGATACCGATAATAGGTCTCTTAAAGTTGTTGGTTAATTAATAAACATATTTAAATATATACAGATAAAATTTGTTAAATTTTCAACTATATTACTAACTACATAATGCGAAAGCATTCACAATATCACAACATGTATTTCAATTTTATATCACAAAACGTTGTATCGTTATAATAAATTTAAACAGGTGTTAACATTCATATCAAATTATTAATCTGAATAAATAAATAAATAATTTTAAAACCTCCCGTCAAATGTCAGTATTGACATAAAAAAAATTATGTGATTCGAAATAAAGTATAACTTGAATTAAAAAAAACATATTCATTTGTATACAAAAATATTTTAAGTTTACCTTTAACACGTAAGAAAACAATTCCAAAATTATAATTACTATTCCATGTCCAAAAGGTAAATATATACAATACCTGAAGCTGTAACGTTTTGTAATGGAACGACAATGTTTGGCTTTAACTTTCTCTAGCTTGTAAAGCCAATACAACGATGGAATTACTTTTATAACAAGCCGTTGTGACACAACAGTGTTTCCGATGCTGTCAATGGCTGTCTATTAGGCAATAACATCAATATCATACCATTATAGGATATAAAGATATAGGTGTTGGAAAAAAGTAAATGAAATAAAAACCCTTCAAAGACATTATAATTACTTTTCAATTATATTTATATTGTCAAATCAGTAAAAATACATTGCTTTTATATTTATATGGTCAAATCCGTATAATTTAGTTGCTTTTATATTCACATAATCTGACCAGTATAAATTCATTGCTCCTATATTCATATAATCAATTAAATCAATATAAATTACGTTGCTTTTATATCCGTATAATCAAACCAGTATAATTACGTTGCGTTTATGCAAATATTTGGTCAAATTAGTATAACAACGTTGCTTTGTAAAATTTCTTGAATCTTGATGAATCAATATTATCTTAAATTAAATTTTATTTTCTGCTGCAAATTGCATCCTAAATAAAAAAGATTTGGTTTTTATTAAAAACAATTTGATGTCATTTGTCAGACAAAACTAAATGCACTATCTTTGTTAAGGATATGGACGTTTCTTTGTTTACATAAGAATGTTTAATTAAAATATTGATAATTCTTAATTTCTTTAACTTCTCGATGTGTTGGCAGCTTCCAAATTTGCTCAATTTTCTATTCATAATTAACATTTTCAGTCATTTACTGAAACTCCAAATTATCAATGAACATAAATTAGTAAACTTTTTTTAAACGCAGAAACCATAATGAATTAAATTATTTAACCTTGAAAATCAAACTCTTCAAAGAAGTCTACAAAGACTTGTTTACAAAGACTTGTACAGGTCGACTTTATTCTACAAACACATGCAGCAAGCTCAAACATCTAAAATATATAGTTCGGATAAAGAATTTTCTCATATGCCAAACATAGAGCTGAAAATACTGTTTTGAAGTGGACAGTGGTTTAGAACCGGCTTAATCAAACAGAACCTGCAGTTGTTTTGATGTTACCAATTTGGGCGTTCTTTCTGGATTCTGTTATTTTATTCCTTTTTTAACAATAAATAAAGTTACTTGGAAATTTGCTTACATTGCGATTTGCCTTGAATGTTACACTAAAAGGAGCGCCTGAATAAAAACAACAGGTGTGCATATTTCTTACAGATTAGTTTTTTATTCATCTTTGACATTAAAAACGGCATGCTTGTGGTGTTTGCATAATAAAAAATAACGATGCTATCGTGGCTTGATTTCTACGCTCATTAATTACAAACATCATAAATCTCCAAAATATAGCATGGTAACGCGTATATTATACTAACTTTATGGTAAAGCTTTTTAAAAGGCGTGTGTAATAGCACATTTTTATGTTCTATGCCCTAATTTGTTAATTGATTGTAATTCATTTTTATTGTTAAGATAAATATTTGAAAGGATTATACTTTAAGTGAGTTAATTAGACTAATGAACGTTTTGTCAGTACAGAAACATTGATCATTGATTTACGTTAAATATAGCTCTGTCAGTACTGTAACAGAAGAAATTAGACTTAAAACATAGCGTGCGAAAGCTTTAGTAAAAGTTCTAATACTAATAACTGACTGCGAAAAAAAACCAACAATTTGGAGTACGGTCATTTAAATAACGTGCGTGAAACAAGAAATATGCTTGTCTAAATAAATGCACTTAATTAAATGTTTTACTCGCAAAAATGTCGAAAGATGCCGTCAGCGGTTTCACGTTTAATTATATTATTTGCTCGGAAACCGGTCAACATCGGGTTGGGGTTTCCCAATCATTTATTTAACCCAGTGATAAATTATATTCATCTCAAACATTTTAATTACAATTCACGTATAATTTGTGGGTAATTTTGTAAATGAACTAGTTTCTACACTGAATGAATGTCTGGTACGAGAGTACAAATAATGTGGGCGTTTTGTTTAATCTTGATCCAGTTTAAACCTATGATAAAACAAGTTCATGATCTCATTCCCTTTACCTATCTTTAAACTTAACGTAAGTTTAATTTGAGTCTTAATGTAGCAATGTCATTGATGTAAATAAAGTACGGTTTCTTATCGCGTTTATTCATTCATATTTATCCATGTTACACAAGTTGGAAACTGATGTTTCAAGCAGCCGAATTCGTGCATTTAAAAAAAAAATCTATGAAATTATAATTATTATTACAAATGAAATTAAGAACACAAAAATAAATCCTATAACCCTACTTACCTTTGTCAATTTAAAGCCACTCTCTTTTGACAAAATATATACAAAACATCACAGATTTTGTTAGTAAACGGTAACAAAACATTAAATTTCTCTCAAATTCTATATAAAACATGCAAACGGTCACATTTCTAAAACAGTTAACAGACTGATAGATTATATGTATCATCACTTTATTGGTCTGGTCTTCCGTCAGCAAAAAAATGACAAGAAGTCAAATCAACTTGTTTTGCTTCTTGTCGTGTAGCATATTGTCTTTAGCAAAATACAACAAGAAGCCAAATTGGCTTGTTTTATTTTGTGCGTGGCTTATTTTGTACATGCATCATATGTTGTTGTAATGATCGTGTAATGTCAAGATGGTCAAAAGTTTGAGCTTTATTGATTCGATTTTACACCCGTTTTTTTTAAATGACCTTTAGTACATATTACACTCGTAAAGGAAATTGATGATATATACTCATGCAAATGCACCTAAGAAGTTCTCCGAAGTTACATTTCTTGCTTTTAGTTATGTTTCGGTCATAGTGTATATGTGCTCTTGTCAATTGTAACGACGACCACATCCTAGCAATGCAAGAGCTGACGTAGGATAGACATAAGGTTGTTGTTTTTCCACATTTAGATGTTTTAGTACCCGTTATTTCCTTGGTATCATCGGCATAATATATTGCGATAAAGCATATTTCATAAAAAAGCTTGTTACATTACAATTTGTAATTGTTTTAAAAGGGATTGAAACACCGGTACAAGTGTACGCACATGACATACTTTCATATCACAGACCAAATGCAAAAACATGCACTTGTCTGTCTACATTTTATTTTCACCATTACATAAGAAAATACGTGACTGATTTACAGTTTCAGGTCAAACATGACTGCGCATGTCTTGCCTGCACAATTTTTTCTCAATTTGGCAAACTTACTGCGTACTTGTGAATGTGAAATCGCATATGTAAGTCAAACAAGTACATGTATGTCATCTAATGGTATCAAAGCACAATGTTACGTAAATTTATTGCTATTGCGTATTTCTCAATCATGATAAGGAGAATCATTTTATAAAAGTCATAACTTAAACACATGCTAATTTGTGAACATATCCTGAATGATTGATACATTTGGTAGCTTGGCTTTATGACATAAATCATCACAGTGTACTTTTTTAGAATTTGAAAATCCCTTGCTATTTCAGTTTTAGTTTTACTCCTGTTCTCAATTTCTCATAAAATTCTAGACTCAGTGATTTTTGTTTTCTTTCCATGATTAAGAATAAACAAGATTTTCGATTTTTCCTTCCTTTCATATTGAATATATTCTATTATATTTTAAGGGTGACTTTTACCGATGAAATATATAGATTTCTTTTCATTTCAATCAAGGGTACTTTGTAGTTTTCAATGGATTATGCTTGCAAGCATGCGTGACCGATTATAAATGGCCATTATTATTTTATTCGAGCAAAAGTATTAAAGAAAAGAAATAATGAACGATACATTCGGCCGAGTTTTATCCGTGCCAATGAAAACGAAAGTTGAAAATGTGGGATCTATTTACGGATAGCCAATATTTGTTTGGAGTTCTGTAATTTTAACTAAATTGGGACTAAGAAATGAGTTTCTTATAAGCGATAATTCCTTATAACCGTGTTCGCTATAAACATATATTTTTACATTAAATAAAGAAGGGCAAAAATCGTGTCATAATAAATTGTTCCTTTTAACCGGAGGTTTGCTATAACCGTGTTCGCTTTAAGTGAAGTTTACTGTACTAAGTTTCCTCTTACGAAAAAAATTGTTTGACCGCGCTCACTTTAAAATACATCAAAAGCTTCAAGAAACAGCATTTAAAACAGGGACAGCAGGAACTGGGGCAACAGGAACAGTGGTAGAAGAAACAGGAGCGCAAGAAACAGTAGTACAGGAAACAGTAGCAGAAAAAACATTAGTAGCAAAGAAAAAAGCAGCAAAAACAGTAGCAACAGAATCAGTATCATCAGAAACAGTAACATGAGAAATGGAAGCAGGATAAACAGGGGCAGAATAAACAGGAGCAGAAGAACATAAGCACAAGAAACAGTAATAAAAGAAATAGTAGCAGCAGAAACAGATGAAATTGAAACAGTAGCACAAGAAACAATAGCAGCAGAGACAGTAGCATGAGAAAAACAGGAGCAGGATAAACAGGGGCAGGATAAATAGGAGCGAGCAGCAGAAACAGTAGCAGCAGAAACAGCAGCAAAATAATAGCACAAAAATAGTAGCAACACAATCTGTAGCATGAGAAACAGGAGCAGGAGAAACAGTGGCAGCAGAAACGGTAGCAGGAGGAACATAAGCAACAGAAACATAAGCAGCAGAAATAGTAGCAACAGAAACAGAAGCAGCAGCAGAAACAGTAGCAGGAGAAACAGTAGCACTAGAAACAGTAGCACCAGAAACAGTAGCACCAGAAACAGAAGCAGCAGGAGTATCACAAGCATCTTTTTGCATTTGCTGTTTGTAATGATATTATTTCATAAGCATACGACGAACTATTTACTGTTGTTGACAGCCCTGATATCATATTTAGAATATACAGTTGTCAACGGAATATTCTTTTATTCCGTATTACCTATAATGATATCACATTTTGAAGAAAACTTCCTAAACATAAGGTTATTTATTACCTGCAGATGTTGTAATTTATCGAATTTAACCATCCTTGCTGCAAAATTTATTGTACCTGTTATACATATTTTGTAATCAACATGTCAACTTACTACAGAGAACATTTTGATTTCCTGGCTCCGTTTTAATACTGCCAAGGACAATGGGTGACATTTTTTCTAAATGCAAAATAGTTTCTGATTAAACAGAATAAAATAGTCCTGAGCAAAATATTGTGCTGTTATTTAAAATAAGGTTGTTATAATCAACATCGATATAATGATTTCACGCAATTCTTGCACGATTTTTTATTAAAGAAATATAAAAATGCATGTGTTTATTTTTCAATTTTTAATTTACAAAATTAAAAAAAAATAAAATTAAAATGTAAACTAAAGTCATCAGAGATATATATACGATTTCAATAAAATATATGTCGCCGTGAACGGAACGCGATCGTAAGGGAATTCAACAAAGGTTGCCTAGCAAATATATTGAGGGACTATGAAGAGATTTTGTGATTAACACTAATTAAGCAACTCTCATCCATTTCTGGATGACCCTTGTATATAACTTTATGTACATTTTAGAGTTGCTACCTGAAGTGATGAAAAATGGTCGTTCCCCTTTAATTTTTTAACATGTGATTTACGTTTCACATTTTGACCGAATTCTGCTTATTACAAAGCTAAATTCATTTTATTGCGTGTTAAGCATTTGAAAAGAACAAAAAAACTAAAAACTGAATATCTGCTTGTGCTGTATTCAATGCACCCTGTTAAATATATAGATCTATAAGGCCATTATAGCCTTTATAATTATATAATTCTACAAGGAAACATAAAGTGATTAAAGTTAATGACGTTGCGTCTCTGTTTTGCAGTCCTTACATTTTTCAAAAAAAGTGATCCGTATTCAAAATTCAAATTTGTATTTGTTTTAAAAAAAACTTAACAAATAAGTTTAATTAAAACATCAAACGGCAACCCCAGGACAGGACTTCTTTGACAAGTTCTTTAAATGATAATAAAATATTGAGGGTCAGCGTCATAAGTAAGTCAGATAGTCTTAAAGTCCTCAGAAAAGACGATTTGTGTGTGTGTGTGTGTGTGTGTATGTGTGTGTGCGTTTGTTTACCTACATAGCAAGGTGAGTGTGTTAGCTAAACACATGCAAAGTGGGGTTTAACCTACATATGTTAAATTAAATAACAGTAGCGGAAGAAACAGTAGCAGCAGAAACAGTAACAACAGTAGCAGCAGAAAGAGAAACAAGAGATACAGGTACAGCAGAAACAGTAACAACAGAAAAAGTAGCAGCAGTAACAGAAGAAAGAAATACAGGAACAACAGAAACAGTAGCGACAGAAACAGTAGCAGCTGTAACAGAAGAAAAAGTTACAGGAACAGCAGAAACGGTAGCAACAGAAACAGTAGCAGCAGTAACAGAAGAAAGAGATACAGGAAGAGCAGAAACAGTAGCAACAGAAACAGTAGCAGCAGTAACAGAAGAAAGAGATACAGGAACAGCTGAAACGGTAGCAACAGAAACAGTAGCAGCAGTAACAGAAAAAAGAGATACAGGAACACCAGAAACGGTAGCAGGAGAAACAGTGGCAGCAGAGACAGAAGAAAGAGATACAGGAACAGCAGAAACAGTAGCAACAGAAACAGTAGCAGCAGTAACAGAAGAAAGAGATACAGGAACAGCAGAAACCGTAGCAGGAGAAACAGTGGCAGCAGAGACAGGAGAGCGGAAGCAGTAGTAACATAAGTAGTAAAGCAGAAGTAATAATAATAATAATAAGAAGAAGAAGAAGAAGAAGAAGAAGAAGAAGAAAAAGAAGAAGACGACGACGAAGAAGTAGAAGAAGAAAAAGAAGAAGAAGAAGACGACGAAAAATAAGTAGGAGAAGTAGTAGAGGAAGAAGAAGAATATCTGCAAATATTTTTACATCGATCCAAATGCAATAGAACATGAAAGATATATCTATATTTGACTTCCTTGATTTAAAAAAATATAACATTTGACTGTACAAAAAATAAGTTTCAGTACATTTCTTTTTGAAACAAGCATACTATTTATTTTTAAAACATGTTTCATAAATTTACTTACCTGATTTTAGTTCATCTATCCGTTATAACTTCCAAAAGTTCAATCATATTGCTTCGTGTCTGTGTCATTGAACAAAATTCAACCCGAGATAAAAATTTTATCTCCCGAGATTTGAAAGAATTCCTGAGTATCATTATTCATTTTTTTTTTTTGCAAAGTCATTGTTTACTAGATTTTGAATTACCGGTTTCATAACCAAATTTCCTAAATTTTTTCCTCCGAGTGGATTTTGTAACACATTTACTTCTTGAACTGATTAAAGGACATGCCGGGTTAATGTAGTGAATAAATGTTGCTTACGTTATACAAATGAGAAGTTTGTCCAAAATTACAGGGCAACCAGTTTAAATTTCCTTAAATTGCCTTTTTCAGTATAAGCAGTAAAGTTTAAGTACCCACGAACGTACTGTTCGGCAAGTAGTAGCATCATAAAGTTTTTGTAATTATATACCGTCCATCGTTTCCATGGAGAACAAAAATAATTATAATCATAAAGGGAGATAATTTTAAGAAGTAAATTACCTTGATTTATCTAAAAAGCCAAAAAAACTATTACATCAGATTTCTATACAAAATTTAATATCAGATTTGAATAACTCAATTTTCATCATAAAGTGACAATGTAATATCCTTCAATTAGTTATAAAAACAAATTGCATATAAATTGAGAGTTAGAAAGGGAGATAATAAATATGGAAATTCTATTAAAACTACTTTCTCTAATGGTTAAATAGCCAATTAGCATCGGGTATCTGAAAAAAAAATATCTAAATCAATTACATGGTATAGATTAGAATAATATAAGATGGCAAGAAGCCATTAAGATCATTTTTAGATTATTATTAGCCCGAGGAGAGTGAATTCTAATTTCCTAATTGTTATAGGTGTCTGCTGAAAACCATCCTTATAACAATAATGGTCGTTTGTTTCTCCATTTCTCCCTCGCATTACCACAGTGAGAAATAATAGGGTAAAATAATATACTATAGAAAGACTAATCAGCTGAGTGTAATTTTAATAAATATGTAATTATAGCATTGATAGTGTTTCATTCGTCGCGTTTATAACGCAGCAACGTGATAATTATAAGATATAAATTTTATGTGTCGGATTTTTTTTTTTCACTTGGAACTGTAAAACAAGAATATCCAAATGATAAATTTCTTTTGCTTTTTTTTCAATGTTTGAAATACTTTAAAATGGAAAGTGGTCCTATTGTTGACCAATGCACTTTAATAATTAACGGCCATGTATTATATAAATTATAAAAACGTCAAGATTATCCAATGAAAAGCGACTTTTCTTTAAACGTGAGGTTATAATAAGTTAAATATTTACTCTTTATCAATGCTATAAATACCTGTATACGGGCTAGAAATGTACTTATGCCCTTTTGGTTTGTTTACTCTTCGGAGATAATAGATAAGTCAATGGTGAACCAGTTTTTAGATTTTTTTTCGATGAGATGTAGATCAAATTCCTTTAAGCTAAGAAACATCGGAATGTTTTGTTGATATAGATTAAGACCAAAATTTACATGTTAACGTAGTTTATTTTTATATTTTAACGTTATAAAGTGCACCTGTCCTTAATAGTAATCAAATTGAAGATGTTTAATATTTTTCCATAATACATCTTAAAATTTATTTACGTTACATGCGGATCACAAGGCAATCAAAGGGCTTTTAAACGAGTTTATAAATGAAATATAAACTTCCTATATAATCCAAAAAAAAAGCAACAACAACAAATAAACAAATAACTTGATATAATCATATTTCTAATATAACTTGGACGAATGAATAAAATTTTGTGGTAAATTGAATAAAACTGATTTGTTAACAAACCCATACAAAAATCATTTTCGAATTCTTGAATTCTTTCTTCGGTATTTCTCAAGCAAATGCCCTTTAAATTATTCTACGTTAACACAGCTGTTAGAATTTACTCCTGAGCTCGTTGACACGACACCTTTCTTTTAATACGCATGATTGGTTAAAACAGTTGGTAGAATTTACTCCTCAGTACATTGTTCTACACATAATTCGTTGCGGATTTAACTCATTTCAGGATTGGAGCAGTACCTCTAGACGCTTGCAAAATTCATGATCACAAAATAGACAAATATCGGGTTTTTTTTCCGCAAATTATTACATTTTTCATTCATTTACATACAAAAATCGGTGTGAAAAGATGAATTAGACGTTTTAAAATTCATAATGTTGGGTAAAAAGGCAAGATTTTAACATTTTATCATTCAAGCGCCTTGTCCGGTATATACCGGAATACGGTATTTAGTATGGTGCTCCAATTCCGTTTTTAGTCTCACTCATTGGTTGCATTCTTGGATATAGTCTGGTTCCATGCTTACTATTCTCCAATCATTAGTAATAATAGGGTCAGGTAATCCAGACTATCTTGGACAATTCCAACAGGTTACATATAACACGCCAGCCGGAAACCCGGCGTTGGAAGTTGGAATCAATGTATACAGAAATGACTCCATTCCAGGACAATTTATTTTCTATCTAATGTGTAAAAAATCAATTATCCAAAAGACGTGTTCGTAACTTTGAGCATTCGTGTCTCACCGTTCTTAACTTTTCTTTAAATTTTTATTATAATATGTTTCACAATATATTTCTGTAGTATCACATCATAACATTATGGCAGCTTACATGTCCAGGTATTGTTACATTATATCACGATATATGTAGCCTTTAATATGTCATCTTAACTCCGTTTTTAAGGGAACTGAAGTATATAAGGAAAGAATGAGATCCAATAATGTGTTAATAAATGACTGACATACAAGCATTGTATGGAAAATTGATATGATACTCTCATCAAGATTCACCTAATGATAGAGATATATTTAGTACATATTCACGTTTCGTAACACGACTGTGTAGGCAGAAATTGATATACTATTACTATTAGGGCAAAATTGTGGTGATCTTGGTAGTTTTCACTCCGGATGACGGCAGTAAGCCGCATACAATTTACCGGAGCACAGTTCAGCTACTGCATCGTTCTTTGGCAGGCTGGCAACCAATTTACCAGAACTAGTTGCTTTCACTTTCGCAAGAAACTGATATCTTCTGTACATGCCAGAGCAGGGGTACAGAGCGAATTAGCGTAGATCAGTCACAACGAAAGTGACCTGCACCGTTAGGATGTTAGATCTAAACTTTTATTTGAAATGAAAGTGTACAGCCTTTGAGCAAAATGCAACACTGATACTGTTTTTGGTAAATATTTCATAAAAGAAGGGGAAAAAACAAGTGGAATAAATTACCTATTCTACAATGAAAAGAACTTAAGTCAATACTATTTGTAATAATTTTTGCGTTATTCTTGGTCAAATAGTAAGACTTTAAAATGAGTGATATACATTGATTTATATAAGTTATATCTCACAGATTTACTAAATATTTTTTTACCTGGCAAAGAAACAAAATTTAAAACAACCACACTAAAACGTGTTTTAAAGAAAAAAAAATCATTTTAAATCTTTATAATGTTAAGTAGTTTTCTCTGTCAAAAAACGAACAGGAATCTTTTCAGTTGGAATTCCTTTGTGTACACCATGATGTTGATCAATTATTCATAATAATACAATGACGTCACAAAACCAGCCACCTTATGGCAGATATGGATAATACATAAATGAAAAAGAAAATATATAAGCTACTTATATAAATCCTCGAGGATTTGGAAGTGCATCAAATTGAATCAAAACATGGTGGAAAGACAAAACTGTTCAAATTCTAGACACAAATGACAATTTAAAGCCTTTAGTTTTAAACATTTCAAAACCTTAGAGAATATACTAATATTCCTTTCAAATCATATAACACCAATCAAACTATATTAAACACAATATCTATGCATATATTGCATATATGTAAATAAAGTGCTATGTAGGAATATGAATCGTTCTAAATATTTCACGTTCCGCGAATGTGACAGATGCGCCGTTTTTATGCCTCAACGCCGCTTAATGTTGCATTCACTTTGCGCTTACTGTCGCACTTGCAACTAACTAACACACATGCCGTTAAATGCCATCTAATTGCTGCCATTTGTTGCAACTTCTGCTAGATTTCGCTATATCTTTTGTCCTTAAAAAGGAATCGAATGTCGCACGATTTTCCATTGCCGTTAAATGTGGCAACACTACCGTTTAGTGTCGCAATATGTAAATTTATGTTAAAACTCAATGGAGCTAGTGATATTATATTATCACTGTCTGGTACGTGAAACGGTACGGATTTTCCGTATTACGGCGTTTCCATCCAAGATAGAAGAACAATAAACAGCAAAAAGGTACGTGTCATTTTATTATTTATGTACTTAAACAAACGCGTTTTATTGTATACATTTGTATAGCATTTGTCTACCGAAGGATTTACAGGAATGCCCTTATCATTTGTAATTGGAGACAAACGTTGTCCTTTCTTAAGAAAAAAAGAGGGGAAAAAAGTTCATTTCTGTCACAGTTTAAAAATTTAAATTTAGAATTTGCACACGCACACACGCGCGCAACCACTTTTTTACTTCAGAATGTAGGTTAAACCACACTTTGCATGTGTTTAGCTAACACACTCACCTCAGTCTGTAGGTAAACAAACGCACACACACATATAC